ACCTTTAAGAAGGCCATGGCTACAAAAGATTATAAAATAGTCTTTAGGACAACTCAAAGAACAAAAGAGTTTTCTCAGCTCTTTTGCAAATTCAATTAATTAGATTTTTAATATAAAATCACTGATGGAACCTGGACTTTGAATTGTTTATGCATATTTCATTTTATGTCAAGTCATTAACTTTCTCTTTATTAAGCTGTAACTTTAAAATCTTTGGGTTTTGGTACTCAGTGCTTTGAGACTCTTGTGGCAGGTTTATCAATAAAAGTAATATTTTTTGTTACTGATAAAATGCAGTTTAATATAATAAAATGAAATGTCATGTAAAATTGTTTACTGTTGCTTTAACGATCAGTCCCGACCTGCCAGAGCCTCTGAGTCCATCAGAAACCTGTCACGCTGACTGAGACTTGTCAAAACACCCGTCTTTGTGATTAAAACCAATACAACCTCACAGCCCGACGCTGACAGAACAAATCTAAAGTTAATGAGTTCCCACTCTTTGTTGAAAATGTTGTTTTCATCAGCTGTGAGGTCACGCTATCTAAGAAAGACACGTTACTCTCCAGATGTGGAAAAGAGAACATTTAGTCAAAKATTTTATAGCACTTGTAACAAGTCTATCAAAAGGTTTATTTCTACCCAAAAGGTAAAACTGTAAATGTTGCAAAAAAAATCCTTGCAGTACTTGTGGAAAGACTACTTTGTCTGCCTGCTTCTAGTATCTTTAACATGAAGCGTCTTAATCTGAGACCTGAACACTTCAGCGGACTTATTTTGAGCTGAGGGTGTTGGAACGTAGACAGATCTGTAAATCGAGTTCTTTATCTTTCAACACAGCACCTCCTTCACTACAGCAGACTGGACTAACACCCTCATTACTACGCCTCTGATCCATCGCTCCATCTTCTGAACAAGACTCTCAGATAGTTAGTATACGATTTTTTCACACCTGACACATTTGATAAACTTTAAATGGATCAGTTTGTTTCCCAGTTGGTCCGGACCTTTCATGCGGTGTGAATACACTCATACAAACCCTGGTGCAGATCAAACAACCGGACCAAGACCCACTTTTGAGGTGGTCTCCATTCACTTCCAAACAAAATCTGGTGCTGTTTGCTTCTGGTGTGAGTACAGGCCAGGCTCGAACCGGACCAACTACAGGAAACATGCATGTTTTTGGACTTCACGAGCCACCGTTGCTGAGCATCATGGTAACAATTAACCCTTCAGTGTTGCTAAYGCTAACACTGCGCTGCAAACAATGAGTCGTTGTGAGTCAGGGAACACAGAGCATCTCGTCTCCTTTGGGTTGCAGCACTCCTTTGCCAACGCTGTCCCAAAATTATAGGTGACGGTGAAACGGCCGTTGAACAAGCTAWTTTTGAAATTCTAAATAGTTTTGCAGCTGTATTAACAGCTCTTTTTTCCGGGTCTGTCCTGCCCCCGTCATTTCTGTCCRGTGATCATCCCCTGCATGGCTTTGTTTATAAATTGTAGTCCATTTGCAAAAAAGCACAATGTGAATACACCTTTGGTCCTGACCAAACGACTTAGGGGTGGTTTTGTCTGGCTGGTTAAGGGAGTCGTCCTCTAAGGCGGTTTGATTTTCCATTATTCAGTCATATGTCAAAATGTACCTGGGCAAGACACTGAACCCCCCACTGCCTCTGATGTGTGTCCCATCACTGTATGCATGTGATTTAAAGCACTGATTGTCTATAAGATGATTTGTACTTGTTAGCTTTGTAGAAAGATAACGTGCTKAAGTGTGAATGGTTAGAAAGGCACTTTAAAACTACAAACCATTTACTTTTCTGGTGTGAATACACCCATAAACTCCTTCACTTAAAGCAAAATCCCTGATCTAGAAGGAGCATTCCGCTCGGCTGCGGAAGCCCCCGTTCACACTGAAGGTCATGAAGTTAACAGAATCACATCATCTGCAAAAAAAACAAACGAGTTGAGACCCTGAGGTTTGCAAACCAGACAGTGTCCAGATCCAATCAAGACAAATGCTGTGCTGCTTCTTCCTGACCTAAAGACAACCAAACCCTGGAGTAAACTTTCCAGAGAAGTCTGTGAAGGAAGTCAAAAAGAAAAAATAAGTAGGTCCTCTGGATGGGTTCTTCTTTAGTGAAACGTTTYGTCTCTCCTCCAAGAGTCTTCTTCAGTCTGATGAGTTTCAGSTGAACTCAGCCTTATAAGCACTGCCTCCACATGGTGGATAAACAGGTTAGTCACATGCAAAATAGGGCCATCGCCTAACAATAGGCTTGATTATCTCTGTTGTTCGTAGAGGGTCATGCGCCCCATCACCTGACTATCGTTGGGGCCCTGATTCACACCTTTTGCTCACAGGGGGCTGTCCACACGAAGGCCTCCAACTCTGTTTAATGGTGGACAGTTTTTCTTCACAAAAATGTCTTCCTCTACTCCTCTCTCTTTATGGGACAGCTGTGGAAGAGTGGTTAGGGTAGTTGTCCTGGAATCGGAAGGTCGCTGGTTCRATCCCCCGTCCAGCTGTCTCAGTTATGTCCTTGTGCAAGAAACGTCACCCCTAATGCCTCGGTGTGTCCCATCAGTGTTTGAATGTGATTGGCACTGATTAGTCTCCGTAGATGATTGTACATGCTAACTTTGTAGAGACCTAATAGAGTGCTGTGTGAATGGGTAAATGAGGACACAGATTGTAGTGTGAAGCGCTTTGAGTGTCCTGGATGGATAGAAAAGCGCTATATAAGTACAGTCCATTTACCATTTCTCAAACGAACATTGTTCTCTATCAAGGATGAGAACATCTTCATCCCTGAAAGAGTGACCGCTGGCCTGTAGATGAGTGTAAACTGCAGAGTCCTGACCTGACGATGTAGCTCATCTGTGCTGGCTCATTCTTTTAAACAGTGGCTGTTTTGTTTCCCCAATGTATGATTGATCACAGTCCTCCAGACACTTAACAGCATTATACTATATTACTCTGTATCACAACAACTCAAAAAGTCTGCAAAACTAAAGACTCAACACAAATCATCCATTAATCTTTGTCTAACCCTCAACAGATGAATGAAATGAAAAAAAAAAAACAGTTTGATTAAATTTATCCATGGAAATGAAACCTTTAGACTGTGTTCAGAAATAATCCAACACACCAGGTGTAACACCAGCTCAGTGTGTGACAGGTCATTACTGAATGAATGTGGGGGAGGAGGAGAGGGGGTGGTTAACCATAAACACAGCTCTTTCTGCCTCTTTCACACACAAACCTGCATCGCTCTGCAGWCCTGAAATCTAGGTCATCCTAACAGAAACTTGGTTTTTAAAAAGTCGACAAAGAGACGGAACAACCAGACGTGATGAAGCCGAGCGTGGATCTGTCAGTTTCGCTCTCCGAACGCTCCGTCTTTAAACACCTCGTTAGATTCGTCAGAGCTCGCCGACTCTCGCATTGTTTCTTTACCGGGTTTGTCTCCTCCGTCGGTGCCRTCTCTCTTTCCCGGTCGTCTTGTGACACCTGAGACAAAATGTGTGAACTTGTTGCGGTGAGGGTAAAAAACAGTCAGGGTTTTAGGTCAAATCAATTTCAAATCTGAAACCTGAGACTGACGAGTAATGTGTCGACTCTGAACTCAATTAGATAAAAACCTGTCAGCAGCTAGGATGGTGAACAGGAAATGAAGCAGGCCTAGCATTTCATGAAGAAATGTACATTAATATATCCACAAAAGCAATTTATTTTAATTTAATCTGGTTTTAATCAATTCTCATTGCCTCTTATTCAAAGCATGTTGATAAATGCTGCATTTTCAGTCTGGCAAAAGCCTTTTTTCTTGTAAAATTCAATATTAATATAAAAATGTTAATGTTTACTAAGAATTTTATTTTATATACCATAAGAACTTTTATTAAGGTCCTCCTTTGTGATTGTACACAGCCCTCTAAAGAAMCATAATGGTTGTTTTGAGTCACTAAAGAATAAAAAAACAGCTTTTATAGCTCAAGAATGTTTCTCTGCTCTCAGTCAACCATTAAAAGCAGCAATAACATTTTGAAGTCATTTTATTTACCAAAGTGGAGCAAATATAATTTATATAATTCTGTGTAATGAATGGTAATAAGTTTGTTTCTGACCAACAAGAAGTAAAACTGGACCAAAGAAGAGAAGGGTCTGATAAAAAGACAACCAGCAGTCTCCAAAATGTTTGTATTTTTGTAGGGTTTTCTTTACACCTCTACTTCGAGTTCCAGGATTTTTCAGTTTTGTTTCTAGAACAGTTGCTGCAGGATCTCAAACCCATTATTTTATCCACGAGAGCTGCTCTCTGAAAGAAAACATGAACCCTCAAATGCCTCWGTCTAAAACCCACATTAATAATATATATTTTAAAAAAAACTTTATTTTAATGTCCTCCAGTAGAACCATAAAGGCAGATAAAAAATGTTCATGACTTAAAATATACTRTAACTTTATGAGCTACATCATTTTCAGATGTCTTGACCAGATGTAGGCCCATGTTTTTGTTCCCTCATGGTGCTACACTGAAGTACCAAGGCCGCACCAGTAGGTGGCGACATCGTTCACATGAACGTTTCAAAATACAGAAAAAGAAAGTTTATATCTTGATTAAACTGATCCCAAAACCACTTTTTCTTCTTTTCTAGATCCTAGAAGCAGCCGTGCAGAAATCTTAAACCCTTTTCTTACTTTTAGTGTTTTAAAAACTAAAGAAATGTTGCAGAAATGTGTCCTTTTTAAACACATTTTCTGTAATCAACACATTGACCTGTTGGTACCAGAGTTCCTCTGAATCGCCTTCCTGAGGCGAACGTTTTATGAAAAGTTCCCAGAACTGTTTTGTTGGAAARGCAGGATTCAAACTTGTCTCCTCAGGGGAATAATCCATCTGCTGTAATGCTCTGGAAGGTGGGGGGACTTCCTGCAGCAGCGAGGCCTGTCTGCTAAATGATGCTCTCTGAGCTTTGGATTATCTAATATGAAGGAGCGCTGCAGAAAGACCTGATCTAATATTGATTATTGTTTAGTCAGGACTGAACGGTGGACATCACATCTCACATCACATCTTTTCTTTTTTTTTTTTACAACAGAGCAGCTTCCTCTCTATTGTTCGTCCTGCATTAGTCATCTGCTGTGCCTGTGGGACCCCCCTCCCATCTGCCTTGGCTCCATTTCCATCCGCCCCGCTCCACCCAGAGACACTGATATGTGGAAAACTCACCTTCGTTTTTTTTTTTTCTCCTGCTCCCTTCATATCCCTTTCAAAAGGTAATGCATTCATTGATGTTATCAGTGAGGGGACTGATGAAATGATAAAAATGGAAATAGATTGCAGCTTTGAACAGCAGAGGACACAACAAGGCGCGTGTGGGAAGGAGGGGATTGTGTTGAGGAGCCGTGGGTGGGAAGGAATTTTAAAAGACACAAACAAGCATAATTAGTCTGCCCACATGGAATGTGACTTTAAAATCAATTTTTGCAATATTTTTAATGAAAACTTTGTTCTGTTCTTTGAAACAGAAATTAAATTCTACCAGGAAATTATAACATTAAAAAGATAATACGCATTAGGGGTGCAACGATACAGGAAATTCACGGTTCGGTTCGGTTCGATAATTTAGTCTCACGGTTCGATATTTTTTCGATACAAAAAAGAGAATTTTCCATGCCCCTTTTAACTTGTATTTTATTTATATTAATTATGAACATTTGTTTAACCTCAAAAGTACAGTTTTTAAATTAAATGTTGCTGAAACAGCAAGTTTCTCAGTGTATCTGCGCTCAAAAATACAGCCAAGGTGGAGTAGTCGAACACAGATCCACTGATCCTTTAACACAGAGCATCTTCAGAAGACAAGTTGATAAACTAAATTTTAAAAATCTGTATTGTTCGATACAGCACTGTTCGATACGCGTACATGTATTGTTGCACCCCTAATATAAATGGATAGATGGATAGATGGATAGATGGATAGATGGATAGATGGATGGATAGATGGATAGATGGATAGATGGATAGATGGATAGATGGATGGATAGATGGATGGATAGATGGATAGATGGTCTGCAACCTGAAAACTAAATGTTATATGGCAACCCTTGTATCATATATATGTTAGTCTTTTGCTGCAGTCATCCAATAATTGTTTTATTTGTCATTATTTCTAAGTGCAGACATTTGAGTGTTAAAGGGACAGCTCAGCTCAGACCTTTTCTGGGGTTTTGCTGAAAGGTTTGAACAATTAATATCTYACATGCTATAGATGACTTGTKTTTTTATGAACTTGTTTACAGTAATACAATTAACCAGAGGGATGAGCTGACAGCTAATCAAAAGCGTTTCTAATCCAGACTGGGACCACTTTATACAGAAATATAATATTTATTTGTAAATAGCCATTCAYTGTGAATCTAACTGTGTAAAGATTAGCTAAAATTAGGTCAAACTTAACAAAAAACACCATTAAATCGATTGATTTATACTTTWGCTTCAGAGTTAAATTCTGTTTCTCCAAACTGAGGCCAAACAGTCATCTCCACCAGGTAAAATAGTAACTGTTCATAACCTTTCCTGAGAATCCCGCCTGAAAATGTCTGAAATATCAGTTTAACACTTGAAAAACACAGCTCTGTTTCTATATGTGAGCTCCGACCCGAAGCACAGGCAGTAATCTGAGACTGCTSGTGGTCTGTGAGGACTGGAGGGGCATCGGGGGTCTGGCTTCCTCGCTGCGTCAGAGAAACTTAAAACTCCAAGCTAAAGACGACTCATCAGCAACGAAAACAAAAGTGGAGCAGTCAGCTGTAAATGTAGCTGATCTCAGCTGCTTTCTGTTGTAGCTTCACACGAAACACGTCAGATTTTAATAAGAAAAATATTTTTCTGGGGGGGGGGGTGGTGTTTAAAGAACTGTAACGTATAAAACATATCCTGAAATAGATGGTGACAGTTTACTTTTCCACATTCGTTGATCTTCAGCTCTGAAATGCAGGTACGCATTCAATGTAAACAAAGCACTTTTCTTTCTCTGAGCATAAATACGTCAAAACTGTCTGACTTCTCTATCCCAAAAAAATTGTACAGACGTTAACCTTTTTACTTTTCATCATTTTTGCGTCTAAATTGTGTCTTGAAAACATAAATTTGATTATTTAATTCTAAAACAAATCACACAACACTCTACAAGTTATTAACTGGGAGGTTAGAGCTGTCTTTTCTGCATTTTCCCTTTTGTTGCTTTTCATCYGTGCACGAACTGAAGTCCCTTTTGCTACTCAGATCGGTTCAGTCTAATTTTAAACTTTGCCTTTCTTATAGTTTTTTTCTTTTATCTTTTTCATTTACCTGCTTGCTGTGGTTATTTCTCAGCTCTTCAAACGCTGACTCATTTCCGGCCGTTTCTCTCATCAACCTGCTGCTCAGAGGCTTTTGTTGTGCGTCAACTCACTGCTCTGCACACCCTGCAAAGGTGTGTGTGTGTGTGTGATTGTGTGTGTGCATGTGTGAGTGTGTGTTTTCAGGTTGGAGGTGAATATCGGTGTTTCTTTTTAAATCTTTTTTTTTTTTGTTTGTTTCTCTTCTTTCTAAATAGACTCTGCGGTGGGCTCACAATAACCCGTGTGCTGGTATGCAAAGCGATTGTGGAGGAGAAGGAGGGAGGTGAGGCGTCTGGTGCAGCAGCTGGTTGGCTGCTGGGATGGTTTCCATGGTAACGTGTGTGGCTCTGTCCCTCAGTCCCAGTATTGATGCTCTGCACAATAGAATACATTTTACAAAAAAAAAAAAAAAGCTCTCCGCTCTCGCCGCCCTCTTTTTACTCCAAGTTTGGATTTCATCCATCTCTTAATCCACACTGACAGATCGGAACTGTCTTTTTTTATGTAGCTCTCACTAATATAGTCATCCAATTTAAGTATGTTTAAATA